AAAAATATAAGGCATGCACAATTAAATATCAATGCATGAAACATAACTAAATACTTAGTAATTTTAACTAAAATATTTTAATATAATTTTCTTTTTCTTTTTTTATCTCTCATAAATAATCTATATATATAATATATTTATCATTTATTTTTTGTATATATAAAAAAAAAAAGCCCATCAAATTTGGCCTGAGATTTTAAGTATTTCCAAAGGGATAGTTAAAAAAATTTGTTAGTTGGGAGAGTTGTTTTCGAAAAAAAATTTGAGAAGAGAGTTTATAAATTTTTTTGATTTATTTGGTTGTATATTTTGGGAGAGTTGTTTTTTTGGGAGTTTGGGATGATTTGATATTTTGAGAGAATTTGAGTAGATATGTGTGAGAGAAAAAATGATTGAGAATGAAAGAGGAGAGAGAAAAAATGATTGATTGATGTGTAAGAAAGAAAAAATAATTTTAGAAATTTTTTGAAAAAAACTCAAACTAAACAATTTTAAAAAAAAATTTCTCCAAAACTCAACTCCCAAATACCAACAAAACATACCCACAGTTTCTTTCTCTTATAGGTGAAAAGCACACTCCTAGGGATCCCCAAGTATGCGTGTCCATGTGCCTGTTTGGCAGAAATTATTTACAGCTTATTTCAGCTTTTAACTTAATTTAAGCTATTTTGATGTGTTTGGTTTAGCTTATAGCTTATAGCTTATAGCTTTGTGGAAGTCAGAAATCAGCTTATTCTTTGAGTGGGGCAGGAGATGCTTTAAGAATAAGCTGGAAATCAGCTTAAGCTGAAAGTTATAAGTTATAAACTGTTTAGGCATAAGTTATAAGCACTTTCCCACAGCTCTACTAAACAGGGCTCGTGTCAATTTGGTGATTCTATTGCCTCGAAATAGCATAACAAACTATCTATTAAAAAATATAAGGCATGCACAATTAAATATCAATGCATGAAACATAACTAAATACTTAGTAATTTTAACTAAAATGTTTTAATATAATTTTCTTTTTCTTTTTCTTTTTTATCTCTCATAAATAATCTATATATATAATATATTTATCATTTATTTTTTGTATATATAAAAAAAAAAAGCCCATCAAATTTGGCCTGAGATTTTAAGTATTTTCAAAGGGATAGTTAAAAAAACTTGTTAGGCATTTTAGTCAATGTAACTCTAATTTTGAGCTCCAATGGACTGGTTATTGGGCTAACTACTTTACCATCTTACTTTTTTGGTGGCTACAATCAAGGCCGGCCCTGAGCATAGGCCCACAAGGCCATGGCCTAGGGCCCTCAAAATAGACTCAAAAAAGGGGTCTCCTCTTATTATAGTTTAGTTTAATATATTAGGTATATTTTAAGTCCAAAAAAAATTAAAAAAGGTCTAAACTAACTTAAAATAAATGGACCCATTAACAAATTAAAAGATCCATTCAAAAAAATTAGCATTGTTATCCATTGAAAATATACCCAAAAAAGAGGCATCTCCTATTATAGTTTAGTGTAATATATTAAGTATGTCTTAAGTCCAAAAAAATTAAGGAAGACTCAAATTAACTTAAAATAAATTGATCCATTAAAAAATTGAAAGACCCATTTAAAATAATTAGTATTGTCATCTATTGAAAATGATTTTGCAAAAAAAACTTGATTATGCAAGTATTATTGATTTATTTGCTTTTAAAAATGCAAGAAGAGCGAGGATCAAGCGATATTTATTAGTTGTTGTAATGTAATACTAAATATTTTATGTGATTTTGACACAAATCTTTTGTTCTTTACTTTCAATTTATTTATTTATTTATTCATTCAATGAAAAAAACTAATGTGAAAAGTCCCAGAAATTTATTAGTTGATTATCGGTTTTGGGTCTCAGAAATCTCAGGGTCGGGCCTGGCTACAATTGAATAGCCCTCGAGGCTTTCCAAACAAATATGCATGTATATATCTTGGATTTTTGTATATTTATGTCTTGGATTTGAAATTTTATATATTTTATATACGTATATATGAATGTAAAAATTTTATATGTTCTTTTAATTTTATTTGATGAATTATGAAATAACTTATTTTATATTTTATATTTTTTTCTCCCCATTATACAAGTTTTGTATATTTGTATAGGTAAATTTATTATTATTGTAATTTTATATTAGTAAAATATTAATAATTAGTATTTTTTATTTTAAAAATTAATTAAATTAGTTTAAATGATTAGTTAAAATAAAAAATATAGTTAAAAAACATAATAATTAAAGTAATTAAATAAAATAAAAAATATATTTTTTATACATTTTAATTAATAAAAGGTAAAGAATATGGTTTGAATTGCCCTTAGGCTTGGGCCTCAGCCTTAGCTAGACTTTTTTGGCTCGTGCCAGCTCAAAAACGACACCCCTACTCACAAGTAATGAGACATGATTGGAGGAATATTTGTTTTTATTATTTTGAGAATACGACAACAAAATGGTAGTTCCATACATTTCTTTTTTGGTTATTTGTGGGTTTGGACTTTGGATAGCTCATGCAGCAGTCACTGTTGTATTTCACTTAGATGTTTATTACGAACTTATTTTTATGATTTGAATTATTTATTTTATAAAATTTATTAAGTATTTTATTTTTATTAAAAATCATATTAATTTAATGTCAATAATTATATAATCAAATTACATATTTTTTATATTATTTCTAAAAAGAAAAATTTATTATTTATTTATTTTTTATAATAAATATAATTTGTTCATATAGTTATTGATATCTGATTAACATGATTTTTGGTAGGGATTAACTACTCAATAAATCCTACAAAATGAATGGTTCAGAACATAAAAATAAGCCCATAATAAACCACCAATTGAAGCACAACAGTTGTGCCAAATGATCATAAAAATAAGCCCATAATAAACCTTCAATTGAAACACAATAATTACTACTATGCCAAAGGCACAACAGTAATCCCATTCCCTCTTCACGGTAGTAGTTACCTTTTTCAAATAGAAAAATGATTGGTAATTCAAGTTTGAGTTTGTCTATAAGTTTAAATTTGTATTTGTTGGCCAATCGTCCGAACGTTCATTTGGACAATCGTGCAATACTTACCTACTACAATTGTTATTCTCGTCGACCGTGACTGTTGCCTTCTTGTCGAATAATTGACAAATCAAAATTCGAACAATTTCAAATAAACTCAAATTCAAACTACAACCATGTCGTTTTAAATATGGAAGTGGTTAACCATCCACTTTTTCTTTTTCTTTTTTTTATTTCTTTTTGTTTTTTTGGTAACTTAGATATGTTGATTAGATAGATACAAGTAAAGTTCATCATATTAATGGAGTGTGTATACATTGTAGACCGCTTTTGTGCTTCACGCATTTCATATAGCATTATGGATGGAGTAAGATGGCAACGGGTTTTTTTGGGTTTAGGGCATAAATTCTTAATTTAAACTTAATTATTTTAGTGATATAATTTTATATTTTATTCTACTCTTTTACTCTTAATAATTTTGAACACCTATTCTTATACTCGACTCTTCCCTATTAACATTTTCTCAAACCTTTTCTATTAAAATTAGATTGGGTCAAATACAATCAGATCAGATAATTTTGCTAACCTTAAGATGGAACCAAGTATGGAATGATGGCAGGGAGGGTGGAGAGGTGTTGGGTAACCAAAATAGGAAGGCTGACAGTTTTATGCATCTCAGAAACACGACTCCCTTCTCTTGCAGGTAAAAAGCACACTCATAGAGATCTCCAAGTGCACATCTTGATATCAATTCAGCGATTCTATTGCCTCGAAATGGCACAACAAACTACCTACTCCAAAGTTGCCGCGATTAGTGATAGTTTTGCACGTCTTAGAAGCGCGACCCCTTTCTCTTGCGGGTTAAAATTCAGTCCCAAAGACCCCTATGTGCACCTGCTGATATCAATCTGATTCTATTGTATTGATATGGTGCAGCAAGCTGCATGCTTAGAAGTGGCCCTAACTATGCGTTCCAAAAGCGCAACCCCTTTTTCTTGTGAGGAAGCAGCACACCCAAAGGACCCCAAATGCACACACCGATATCAACGCAATGATTCTATCATGGATTTAGAATTAGCCCTAATTAGGGAGGGTTGGGGAGTAATTGCTGTTGTTGGCTAAAGATACAAAATGAATAGAAAGAGAAAAGACATTTTGGTGAATTTAAGGATTCAAGCAAGCAGTTCATGGGTGAGTCTCACACCACTTTTCTCACTACATATGCGGGGAAAAAAAAATGATTCAGATATCAATTAGCGAACGAACCCCATGGTTCGGCTATTCCATTTGGTTTAGATATCCAAACTAAAAAATGGCATGCACTGAAAAAAATCAGGTGCGAAAATTAAATCATTCTGCTCAACCAAATGATTCTGGCATTGCCTTGTGCTATTGATCATAAACTACCTAAATATTCGAGGATAAACATGGAACAAAATAATGGGTCATTCAAATAATTTGGGTATCAAGTAACACTCAAAATTTGAGCACACCAAGGCAGTTGATTCCTTAGACCCACTAATTAATGCAAGAGAAATCTCTTTTTGTCCAGAATGTCAAAGAATGAAATTGGCACTACAGAGAAACCAATTTGAGAGCATTTGGAACTTATTCTTTTATCATAATCTGTTATATCTAACCCTTATCTTCAAATCTGTAAGACCCACAATGCATACAAAGAATAAGTTAAGGAGGTGCAGACTCATTTGCAAGTAAATAAAAAATAAAAATAATAAAAAGATGACTTAGACAGATTCAGGAAGATCAATATGTACACCGCCCTATTTCTATTCCTGAAGAGACTATTTCCCTGATTGTGCCCAAGGATGGGGACCACTTCAGGCCCACCCAAATGATCTACACCATTCATGGCCCCACCAAGGGCTTTCCATATTCTATGATGCACTTTGCCTAGGGCTCATGGCAGGTTGAAGCCCATTCGGGCAGGGCAGACGATACCCACTAATATGGATAAGAAATAGACAAGTCTTTTTTTTATCTTTTTGAACACACTTGGATAAGAAATAGACAAGTATCTTTTTAATGTTTTTGAACACTTCGCATTTCATTTTTGTAAGTGTTTAAGAAATGACACACCTGATCTTTACATGAAACTATTATATACTTCCGCTTTTTCTCTACTGGACACTCCTGACATTAACATCAGGATATGAAATCCAGACTATTTTTTTTTACGTGTTCCGGCAGCAAATTGCAAGTCAAACCCCACAAATATCAACCAAACCCTCAAGAACACTTCTAAAATGCTTTATCCCCCTCCTTTTCACCCCCTCGATTTGACCATCCTATTGTCGGCATCAAACAAATCCTCACTCTTTGGCTTTGAGTTCGCCTTCTCTTCCCCTTGTATTCTGTAACAGATAAAATCAATTGTAATTATGTCAAATCTTCAGCTTCTGTATGGCATAACTTCCAGCTTGTGCTATTCATCATGTCAACTGAAGAAGAAAAATAAAAATCATTAAAAAGGTCCGGCTAAAATTGATGACCGATGACTTCACTAGAGGCTAACAAATTACAATACCAGAAATACCATTATGCTTTATATTTTATTCCATCTTCCACAGTAAAAATAATAACAACAATAATAATAAATTTCTCATGTTACTTCAAACTACACAAGGTTCATCTTATCGCAACAACAAAGTCCTGAGTTTTCTACTTCTAGTAAAGGTTAAATAGGCTCAAACTACAAAGGTCTATTATGCCACAAGTGAAACATTCATATAACTAAGAAGATAATGATGATGGTAAAAATAATGAAGATGACGACAATGACAAAATGTAAAGCAAATGGGTCGAAGCGTGACATTTAACATTCTTCTTTAATTATTATTTTCTTATCCCTTGGCAATATATCTAAGTTGAACCATCAGATTTTTTGGTTATGCAAGTGAGAATTATTTTTCTCCAACCAGAGAGAGCAAGGAAGGCTGCTGCATACTTTCGTTCATGCAATAAAAGTACAATAAAGGTATAATTGTATAAATGAAATTGGACTTACCGTTAAATTTTACACTGGCTGGACAAAATCCGGGGAGATCATATCAAAATGAGGTCAGTTGACAAGACAAAATAATATTACATGTTAACCGGAACCTTGATCTCGTTTCGACCCAAAACAACTACGTCGTTTTCTCAGTATCTCAGATTCTCTGATAATCTGGATATCTGTAGGCCAAAAAGTTTGATGTATAACTTTGAAAACAAAGCGAGGGAGCAGTGCTAATACAATTATAAGCAAGATGGAGAGCCAATATGTAGGCGACTTTGCCAGATAGAAAATTGTCCTGCAAAGCACACAAAACACGTTAGTACCTCATCATGAACTGAGACAAAATAAGAAGAAGCAGGGTAAAATACACATTTTAACCCCTACAATTTGACTCAAATTTTACTTCGGTACCTACTGTTTCAAATTCAGCAATTTGGTCACATTACACTTATAAGACTAGTTTAAATTTAGTCTCCTAAGATGTACACATAGAAAAAATTAATGGAAATTTGAACAAAATGACCAAATTGAAAATGGACTTAAAATGTAGGGGCCCAATTGTTTAAATTGAAACAATTGGGACCAAAGTGAAATTTGGGTCAACCTACAGGGGTGAAAAATGTAATTTACCCTAGTATGTAGTATCCATATTTGAATAACAAGACTCACCCATAATTGGGAAAGACAGGTATAGAATCCAATACCACCATACAGGCATATGTGATTGCTATTGATCCCCATATTGCACAATGAGTAAGTAGCAACCACCGCTGAATGTCCATTGCCAAGTGAATGTTAACTAGGATAACAACTGCAATCGTCCACAAACTTCCCATACTCCATATGTCAACAGTGCTCTCCTTAAAAATGAATAGAGGTATATAGAAGAGAACAAGACTTTGCCATAGCGTGTCAATCATTGTGAGCCAAAAAAGGCGCATATTGTAGCTCTCGTGTCTATGGCCTGCACCATAGAGTTTTGGATACCGGAGTAGTGTCTTATGACTCAAGTCCATGTCCAGAATACCGACAACAATGGTCGGTACTGAGGTATAGATAACAGAATAGAATACACTACTCCAATCTGTTAATGCAGAAGTCGTTGAGAAAGCCGTCCACAATATATACCTAAAAATAGCAAACATACTCAGATGGATAAGATTCATATTGTATTACATCATAGATAATTCAATGAACCATGAAAAAGAATACCATAGAGATTCGAGTTATAATACTTTTTCAGGCCTTAAAAATTGTAGGCAAATCATGACACAGATCAATTCGGAAATAAACACGACTATCTGATTTAGGATTCCACAAATTTTCTGACCAAGATGATATTTCATTTCAAATAAAAACAAACCAGATACATCAGTTCCTTTCCTGTCATCATTAAGCAACAAAATTTTAGGAGACCTTACCACATTTCATTTCTTCCCTCAATGCCTGTTCAGCTTTTAGAGTGAACCAAGAACTATCCATCAGTCTGTACACCGCATCAGTGCAAACACCAAACCATCTAGAATTTGTCCTTCCTAAGCTATGTCACCTTCAAATTTTTGTTCTTCCTAATTCAGCCACCAATCTATGCAGGATACACACATCATATGAGTGTATTCCTTCAAACCAGATATTCTACCCCAAAATTTTTTATTTTATTTTTTGTTTGATAAGTATTCTACCCCAAAAATATATTACTGGCTTATTGTCATCAGTGCAACTCTCTAAAGTGTTACGTAAATATTATGTCAGTAGCACAACATGTACCTATGTTCATTGCACTCCAGAGCCACATTGGTCCCCATATGGAATGGACAAATTAAATTACAACCAATCAAAATCTATCAGCTCCTCAGCTGCTACAAGTAAGAGACTCCTTGTGAGGGAAAAAAAATGTCAATTTAACGATATCCTACTAGCAATGACACCCACTTCTGTCCACATCTCCCCTTACGCTTATCCAATCTAAGTGATCAGCACTATATCATCTCTTAAAGCATACACGACAAAACTATCTGTGAGACAAAAATTAGCATATAATAGCCATGGGCCTGACCCAACCAGGCTGTCATAATGGGCCTAGCCCAACCAAGCTACCCTAATAGGGTTTGTACAACTTATACCTGATAATATAAATAAAAGACAATCCCTGAAGAAAAAGGGTATGCCTCAACTCTGCCTATACACGCTCTTGATTCTTTGTCTCTCTTTGAAGCACCATCACTGACTTTACCATTGGTGTGCCCTCTAGCCGGTAACCACCAGTTGGGTAGCACTAATGGTATTCTATTTTACATATCCACAACAGTATTGCTCATCTCTCTGTAGATCTCTCTATGAACCTGTGTGGGTTAACTTTTTTCCCCACACACATTATCCATGTCGTATTTAACACAACTCTCCTCACTACATAAATCAGCAGTTATCCTCTATACTATCCCACCAGCTTCCTTGCAAGAACTTTCAGCTCGATAGGCATAGAATGATAGAATAGTCAAGGATGGGGAATGTTTTAGAAAGAAAAATTAAGCATGAAAAGAAATTTACATAGGGAGAAGAAGAGGAATAAATTATCAGCATGAAACTACGTCTAAACCAAAAGGAAACCATGCATACCAGAAAAGCATCAATACAAAAACAGCATTGCGGTAGAAGTTGTAAAGAACCAGATAACCAACACGCTGATAATTCCAATGCCCATGCACTAAAAGTAATCTTTTCAAAAACCGAAACTGTCCCATAGCAAAATCCGATGCCATCACTGCTTGGCGCCCTTCCTGACCACATATCCCAACACCGACATCCGCCATTTGGATCATTGAAACATCATTAGCCCCTATAAAAATAAAAATAGAATTAAAAAAAGTTCCCAAGTCAGAGCTGGCAAGAAATAATAACACCTTAGTTTTGCATGCAGGCATGCACACCACACTTCTTTTGGAAAAAGATACCATTCCTAAATAAAATATAAAATTAAGCTCCACATGTGAAGTGCAGGAAGTAATGCCAAGCTTGCTAGACTTCACCAAACCTGTGCTAGTAGAAAAAGATCTAATAGAATAGAATAATCAACTCACCATCACCTATAGCCAGTGTCATATCATCAGTGCGGCTCTTAATTAGGTCAACAACTCCAGCCTTTTGCAATGGCGCAACACGACAGCAGATCACCACCCTACAGGAAGTCGCAATGTCGAACAGCTGTTGAAAAAAAGAACATTACCATGTAAGCATCCACATATCAAGGCCAATTCAAAAGTTTCATGTTCACCTAAATATGCTAGAGTTGAAAACAAGCTATGACAGAAATAAACAAATGCAACCGAAGACTTTAATAAGAGACAGGATTCGTGCCTCAGACTCCAGATTTTTCTCCAAGATGTACACCAGACTATTCCCATCAATGATAAGTGCAAGCGGTGCACTCATGGTTCCTTCTTCCTTTCCCGCATGCCACTGTGGCACATTAGACAACTTCGTGTCATCAGGAATCTCAAGATAATGACTTTCAGCACTCTTTTTCCATTTCAAATTCCAATTCCTGCAGTTTGGTGATTTCACACCAAACTTGGCCTTAGCTGCAGATAATAGATTTCTGCATTCCTCCTCTGAAGTGCCATTTATGATAATTTGCTGCATATCTGAAGTCAGGAGTTTGCAAGAAAGACCAATTGAAATTGCAGTCTCTTGCTTATCTCCAGTTAGAATCCAGACCTTGATTCCTGCTTGCCGGAGGGACTCAATGGCTTCTGGTACACCCTCTTGTAGCTTGTCCTCAATCCCAGTAGCCCCAAGTAGATTCAAGTTGCATTCAATAAGACCTGCCGTTTGACGTAGTTTCATAGATCTGTCAGTCAATGAAGTGCTTGCATCTTCATACATGCATTGCCACTCCTCAAGTTCTGCATCTGTAAGATCCCTGGCAGCAACTACAAGGGTGCGTAGACCTTCATTTGAATATTCATTCAAATGACTCTGTGTCACATGCCTTATGTGATCATTCCCTGTAGGATCTCTTTCTAAAATGCTCAAGATTGAAGTATCAGCACCTTTCACTAACACCTTTACATCATTGTTAGGAAATCTGATAACAACAGACATTCTTTTGCGCACACTATCGAACTCATGCAGACCCAAAACATCCAACCTACATTGCACAAAGAAATAAATAAATTACAGATTGACCAAAAAAGGGCAAACTGCTTCAGCATGAAAAGCATTGAACTACTGCTATCTAGTACCTAGTAAAAATGTTTCATCAGCGAATGTAATAAAGAAACTAGATTGAGAGAGCTTTCTACCTTAGTTTCTCACCATTGACATCAATCACAATATGCCCAGATGTCCGCTCAAAAAGAGTATATCCATAAGCAGATGCAGCAGCAACTAGTGCTAGCTCGTCTGGAGACTCACCCTGATAATCAATAGCTTCTATATCTTCATGTAATTCACTCACTGTGCCGCTTGAAGTTGAACTTTGTGTAAGAATAGGGATCACAGTGTTACATGCGGCCAATGTGAGAAAAAACTCATGTGCAGCAATCCTTTCATCTTCAGCCAAGTCTTTATGCAACAACGCAATGAGTTCAGAATCAACAGCAATTTCAGATTTAAGCTTCCATCTTCTACCTACATGGGCTTCTGTTTCTACTACTGCAAAAGTTACAAAAATGTCAGAAAAAAATGTTTCTGGTTGTTGAGAATAGTAACTGCTTAAATAAGACAATCACCACGAGACAATCTATTATCATAAACTTCACTTTAGAACCAAGTATTCACAACTACTTATGATTTCATACATTAAATAATCCAATTCTACCATCAATTAATTTCTGTCACATTATTACAAGCTCTGTTATCAGAATCTTACGATTCGCGATTCGATTTACAATTTTTGCAAAATCGATACGAATCTATGGGTGAATCTCTCTGTTATCAGAATCTTACGATTCGCGATTCGATTTACAATTTTTGCAAAATCGATACGAATCTATGGGTGAATCTCTCTGTTACCAGAATCTTACGATTCGCGATTCGATTCGCGATTTGATTCAAATTTTTTGCAAAATCGATACGAATCTATGGGTGAATCTATTTTGGAAGTAAATCTCTAGTGAATCGCACGATTCACAATTCAATTCACAATTCAATTCACTTTTTACGATTCATGCAATTTTTTAAATTATTGTGTCCGACATATTTTCGACTATTTTTTTCTACATGTTTTTAGTGAAAATTACATAATACAACTTCTAATAGCGTTTAATACCAAAATAACCAATATAGATACATAATTTGTTGTTATTTTAGTAATCATAAAGTTTTTAATAGAATCCAATCAGATTCAGTCAGACCTAACATATTTTTAATCTTTCTTCTCATTTTTTCCCCCTTTAAAAAATCATAATATATCTTCTAAAAATGTTTAAGATTAAAGTTACACTATAAATTATCTATTACTATTTTATTAAATTGAATATAATTGAATATTACATATGTGAGGTCAGTTATACATTTAAAAATGTTTTAGGCTTTAAAATGAAACATTCTAAATAATTCTTTCTTATTATTTGCTTAGTGTTACTTAAAAAGTATGTATGCTTATTGTCCAAATATCAATATCGTTGTTAATTATTGTTATTTGAGAAATTGATAATTTGCCTATTTAGTTATTATCTTTATTAAGAATGGTTGATAAGAAATATTTAAAAAGTAAAATAGTAAAATAGTAAGAAAATATTTTATAGTAAAATAATAAGTCAAAGCAAAGCGACACCACCTTATACAAATGGGGTCAATTGACCCCATCAACCAGTTTTAAAAATTAGTAAGAAAATATTTTATTGTTAGTTTTTTGTCTATTTGACTGATTAGTTTGTTTGATGCACATAGGCCTTTGTTTATTGCACATGATTTCTAGTTTCTATCTACTCTCCCTCACAAATTTTATATTTTCCAATAATCCTTTTTATAAATTAAAACCTATTCTCTGACAAGCGAACATCCCAAAATTGATTCACCGTAAAATTCTAAAATCTATTTTCTCACAGTGTTCCCTGTCAAAATTCAAATTTCAGTTAGACTTCCCAGTTAAAAACTTCATTCAAGGCAATCTCATGTTCTATTATAATAAGCATGAATGCCAATTGTAACTCATGAAAGAGTTGTTAAAAACACATTCTATTGAAATGTAGTTGACAAAAACACCCAACAATGACCATCAACATGATTCAGGATAATCAACCAATATAACTAGAAGATATTACATTGTGCACCCATGATATTCAAGCAAGTGTTGGATGAGAAAACTATTTCCGAAGCATCATATGATCTTCAAATACCCATCTAAATTTAAAAGACAAAACGTTCAACCATGCTTTGTGATAAGAATGTTAGGCACTCAGAAAGTATACAGGGATGAATGGGTGACAATACAAGAAAAGAAAACTAAACAAAATGCATTTTGAGAACTTAGAGGTGGCAAGAATTGAGATTATAATAAATTCATCTAAGATGCTTACTCAAGCACAATGAAAGCAAGGAGCAGGAAACAGGGGCTGTATGGAGCTCAGTTCTTTCATGATTTACAAATTGGAAAGATAATAAATATATTAAACTAACAAGGTAAAACGGGATCTGAATTATTGCATTCATTCTCTAAGAAATCATGTTGCATCCTCCCAAGGATAAAATAAATACTATTATTCATGATTTGTTTGAAATTTGAAGTACTGAAACATTTTAGTGCTCAATTAGTTGTGAAAAAAAAAAATGTTGAATTTCTAAAATGGGTAAATTACACTTAGCATCCCTACACTTTACATCAAATCCCACTTTGGTCGCTTACTTTTCAAGTATAATAGTCAACCCCTTGTATTTTTGAAAAAATTGGAATCTGACATTTCTGTTAGCTTGGAGCTAAATTTTCTAACGGATATTGTCAGGTGACACACACATGAGGAATTTTTTAGGGCAAAATTGTAATTTTCTTCTCATTTCTACTTGTTCTATATTTTTTTTCACAGTATTTTCTAAACTCAGCACCACACCCACCCCTTCTCATTGGTAGGTTTAGGAAATATAGTACAAAGAAAAAATATTGGGGGAAAATGCAGAAGAAATAGAAAAGCGAATAAATTACATTTTCGCCCTCAAAAAATGCCTCATGTGATGATCACATAACAATTTCCGCTAGGCAATTTAACACCAAACTAATGGAACGGCCACGTTGCAACTTGACCGAAACTACAAGGGGTTAACTGTTACAATCAAAAAACCAGTAACTAAAGTGAGATTCAATGTACAGTTCAGGGGTACAAAATGTAATTTGCCTTTCTAAAATTTGGAAGTTTAAATAAAATTTGTCCATTAAAGTTTTAGCATTTCATCCACATTCCATAAAGGGCATTCAACATTTTGTGATAAGTAAGTCTTTCTAATTCAACTTAAGAACCTTCTTACGCAACTTTCCACATTTAACAGATGACTGATTGTAAATCAACAATCGCACTTAGGCTTTCAGCTTTCAAGAATTTGATAAGAGTTATCAAACAACCCTTTGGTTAAGTTGTCAGTCCATAGCTGAAACGGTCAAGATACTAATAATACTTCATATATTCATTACTAAATACATAGACACAAATGTGAGATACAAAATTTTTAATATACATATATACAGAAATTGTTCAAAAAAGAAAAAGGAATGGCCATAATATGAAAGGCACAGCATTAGAAAGCTTTTGCAAATCACTAATAAGATTAATATGATTATATGACAAAAGAAGAGGTGACAAAAAGCAAGATGAAGCAACTGTAACAGTGGCGAAATCAAACATTGACAATGAAAGAACATATTAACACTATTAGCATGCAATGCTAAAACCAATACATAATCACTGTTACACATGAAATGACCAGCCAAAAGTAAAGCAAGTACACAGGCATACCTGCGTCGTCTGTATCCTGCATCGTATCATCCATAAGCATAGATCTCCCATAATTCTTCCCATACACACTCGCTCTTCGGAATTCCATTTTGTTCTCAGTAAGTGTGCCTGTCTTATCTGAAAATACATAACGAATTTGGCCCAAATCCTCATTTATATTCAAGGATCTGCACTGAAACCGCGAGTCGGAGTTCCTGTCATACATATGCTTGTCTCCAATCATGAAGTATGATTGTCCCAACCGAACCAACTCCATTGTAATATAAAGAGATATTGGTATCATTATCTGAAACACTATAATAGAGCTCAAAAAGGAGAAAAAAGTCTCCATAGGAATCCCATAAAATCTGTAAGGTCTCCCAAATCTTCCTGCGCCAAAATAACTTTTCCTGTAATAAGGTAGTGTATCAAGCCCATCCTTGTTGTGCTGAAGCCACAGACCCATTCCAAGGGCAACTACCAGACACATGATGAAAAGAAAAATAGATAACCATAAGGTTTCCCTATTCATATAACTTTCGAGCCTGCTTCGTTTGGAAGGAGACATTGCGCTGTTCAACATTGCCTTTGTTTCCTGACCAGCATAGACCACTACACCAACAACCCACTCTGTGTTCTTCAGCTGACAACCACGCAAGACAATGTTGGATTGGCTGAGGGAAAACCTCTGCCCATTAAACTCCATGTTGGCTGTGAACTCATATATATTTCTATTAGGCTGTTCACATCTGATAAGCCCTGAAATTGTACCTCCTTCAAATACCATTGAAGTTGTTTCTTGTCTGGCGTACCTTGTCTTCAAGTTTGACTCGCCATCCAAATTCATCGTCTGGATATAAGCTATTCCGCTCAGATCACTTGTCCCCAACAGAACCATATCACAAGGAAACGTTTCGTCAGCACATATCTTCAAAACCTCACCAGCTCGTATATTTTTCCAAGTTTTCGATTGGAACTTGCCCAATTGCAGCACTAGAGCCTCCCGATTATTCTCATTCCGATCTGATCTGTGTCTTCGCCAATCCTCATAACCATCTTTGATAGCAGTTACACAAAGCACAAAAAGAAGAGGAAAAAGAGACACTGTTCTGCCAAAAACAGCAAGAGGGGGAAGCTGGTTGAGACCAGCAATAGCTAAGAAATACAAATAAGCAACCCGGTGGAACTGAATGAAGAGATTCTTGGGCAAGAAATTAATGAACGTATACTTGCTAGTTCGGATCTCATTCCCAGTAAACTCATACTTATCATTAGTCTTCCTCGGATCATTAACATAAATCAACCTTGGATTCTCTTCATGTGACATATGATCGTCCAACTGCATGCTTTTGCGAAGCTGCTGAGATTTATTCGATTTATCCTGGACCTGGTACGAAGACCTAGAAATATCAATCATTGTAGAATTTGGCTGAAGCTCCATTGAACCACCCCACAATACTAGGCGCTTCCTCTCCTGTGGGGGGCATTCCAACGGAAACTGCTGATATAGCTGTGAATCAGCCGAATACAACTTGGGTTTTGCACGAGAAGAATGTTCTGTGTTTTTCCCACAAAAACCTGTATCAACAACAGAAACAATATTATCGCTGTCCTTCAAGTCAAATTCGTTGTTTTCTGTATCCTCGAAGATATCGGAAGATAATATTGCATTAGGACAGAGACAACCTGATGAGCTAACTCTCAAAGGTGGATTAGGAGGTGGCGCAGACGAAGGATCAGAGGATGACAACAATGGCTCAAAGGATGTCATAAATAAGTTTTCCTCCCATCCATGACGAAATTCCTCCTAATTCAATCCTCCACTCACTATAAATTCGAGCTTCTCTCATCCAATCCAATCCAAATCCATCTTCTTTTTTTCTCTCCTGTCAAATTATACCCAATGAGCAGCTAAAACAATCATGCTCACTAAACCAATTTCTCAAACAAATTTGATATGATGCATTGCAATGGATCAATACCAGGCTCCAATAATCAATTACCCAAACAAGGCCGTGGAATTTCCCTTTCCAACTAGCTAGAAAAACAACTTTCTTGTGAGAGTACACACAAATTGAAACCTGGGAAGGAGAGAAAGGGCACAAAAAGGGATCAAAATCTGACCTTTTTGCCTTCAACGGAGAGACAAAAATTCCCAAATTCACGAAGACGAAAATCTCCGAGTCGCTCAAGGCTCTACTTAGGAACAACTGTGCGGATCCGAAAGAAATGCCAAAACTGAAAACAAAAACAAAACAAAAATAGGCATATATCCAAAAATCAAATTCCCTTGTAACCCTCGCCAGCTAAAATCACAGAAATCAAACAATGCGATACAAATGAAGGAGAGAGACAGAGAGAGCTGACCTAATAATGAATTGAATATACGATCCTTATCGTATTGGAAAGCGAGAAATCAGAGTAAATTATGTGGTGGTCCTTCTTCAATTCAATGCACTGAATACGAAATCATAGCGAAAAATGGCAGAGAGATCAGCAATGGCTCACAGATCTGGGACGTATCGCCAGAGATCTTTCTCTCTCTCTCTCTCTGCCTCTGAATCACTGGAAGAATTCCCGTGATGACGATGTGGATCGTGGTGATTTTTGGTGAAAGCGATGGGATTTTGATTCAGAGAAGGGAGGCACAAAGAGCGAGGAGAGAGAGAGGAGGAGAGAGAAAGTGAGAGGGGAGAGAAGGTGAGGGGACGAGTGGAAGAGCACGAATGTTGGCTTTTTCTTGCTTTTGGTTAGAGGGGTGACTCGTCGTCTGTCTGTCTGGCAATCTCTCTCTCTCTCTCTCTCTCTCTCTTTCGGTCTGACCGGAATGATGAACCATCACCACCGGAAGTTTATTTTTTTTGGTTGGGTTATTAGTTTTTTAGAAAACCAGTTGTTGGTGGCAATTAGGGGGGCATTTAAGAAACCCAATAATAATAAACTGCCGACCATCGTTTCGCTTTTTCTATCACTACTTTCTTTATTTATATTTTGTACCCACAATTTCTCGGATTTGGGTAGTTGAACTTAATTTTCGTGAAATCTTATTGAAAATAAATTATGGTAAAATTATCCTTAAAAATAAATTTTTTTGTGACAATTTTTTATATATGTTATAAAAATTGACAATTAGTGATTTTTTTTTGTCATGATTTTTATAAATTGTCGCTAAAACTTACAATTAATGACTTTTTTTATGACAAATTTTTTCCATAAAACTTATTAGATAATAAGTCCACTTATTATGATCTATACGTAAATACTCCCAGTAATTATTATTATGTAGTTAAATAGATTTATTTTGATAATTTGAACCGTTCTATCAAGTATAATATATTAATTAGATATACTTTACTTTTTTATCTACTCACATTTGTATTCATTTTAATATTTTAAATCACAATTGTTATTTATTTTTGTAGATACAAATGTAAGTAGACGAATGGATAAACGATATCCGATTAACTTGATTTCTTGCAGGTTGATGTATTCTAAAATGTGAACGGTTCAAATTTTCGAAATGAGTACCAAAATTGAATCATTTGACTGCATAACAGTGGCTATTATTCACCCCGCAAAACAGCCACTCTAATTCCCAATTTCTCACTTCCTACTTTTTTTTTCTTTTTTTTTTTAAGATAGATTTATATGTAAGTCCTAATAGGTAGATTTGTGAGAATTAATTTATTGTGTTGTGTAGAAATTAATTTTTTTATTTTTTCATATTATTTTATTTTTAGTAAATATTTTTAAAATTTTAAGTGATTTTTTATATTTTTTAAATGTATCTTATTTAAAGGTATCTAAAATGTAAAAAAATATATTTTTAAAAATCAATAAATAAATAAAAATACTAAAAATATATTGAATTTTCATATTTTTTTATATTTTAGATATTTAGTGAATTTTTTAAAGATTTTTTCCATAAATATTATTCTTTTAAAGTGTTTTTATGTTAGGGGTATCTAAAAATTTTAAAAAAATACTTAGAATATTAAAAATTTCAATGAAAACAAATAAATATAAAAAATAAAAAATTTCAATTTTTTAAAAAGTAAATCCTGAAAAACCAAACTAAACAAAACAAGATGAATGGTGTTTTTCATCAAATACTATTAAAAAGCGTCACTAATTGTTAATTTTTAGTGATAGTTTGAAAATTGTCACTAATTATAAGTTTTTGCGATCGTTTAGAAAATTTATCACAAAAAGTCTCTAATTTTTAATTTTCAACGACAGTTTAAAAAATTTATCACAAAAAATGTCATTAATTGTAAGTTTTAGTGACAATTTATAAAAATCGTAACAAAAAAAAATCATTGATTGTCAATTTTTAGCGACGATTTAGCAACATATACAAATCGTCACAAAAAATTATATTTAGCGACGATTTTACTATAACTTATTTTCAATAGAACTTAATGATTAAATCTAACTATTATGACCTATTGGTAATTTACTTTTTTTTTTTCCTAGAGACACCAAAAATAATTTATCAAAATTTTTTGCGAATATCTCACATATTACTCTCAAATTTATTTTTCCAAAGAGTAATTGGTACATGATAAAAGAGGTATATTGGCTATCATAACTAAGCTCATCTCTTTTTACCTCTTTCAATGGCCAGTTACGACACTAGTTATTTTAACAAAAACAAATAAAAATCAAACTAGTTACATTTTGAGAGCTTTAAATAGTTTACGTGGATAAATAGACAGAATAAATAATAGAATTGAAACACATAGATAAAAAAGTAATTAGGTAAAATAAAAAACATTCATTTTTTGTACTTTAAGTAATGAAAAATAAAGATAAGGAAATAAATGCTTTTAATTTTTGTTTCTAATTATTAATTTTTTGTTTGCAAGAATTTAGCATATGTGTTGAATTATTTAGTATAACTTTTATTTACAACTTATTAAATTTATAAAATAAAATAAAAAATAAAAAACTTATTATCTAAAAGTTGTGACACTTCAACCTTATAATTATCATATTTCAACTTATAAAAGCTTTTTTTTGAATGATGCAAAATCCTAATTGTCGCCACTATGTACTAATCACCACTATTACTACACTAGCCCCTACAAACCCCAAATCCCCCACTAGGGGCTGTTGCAAATTGGTTTTGTACGATTTGCGGTTCGGTTTTAACCTTACCCGCATCTATGTGATTTGGGAAAAAATCAAATCGTAACCGCCCGCAGCGCGATTTGCGGTTTGTGCCAATAGGGTTTGCGAATGTGCGAGCGGTTTGCAGTTTGGATTTTTTCTTTTAAAAATTAATTTTTGAATTTTTTTTTCCCATTTTGTAACATTTCAAAAAAAAAAAAAGTCAAAAAAATAAATTATAATCCAGATTTCAGATTCAATTAAACAGATTCATAGCCCTCTTATACCTTCCACAAAAAAAAAAAGAGTCAAAAAAAAACCAAAAACACTTTATAGTGTTCCTGAATGAAGCATGTAAATTACAATCCATACAAGAATCTAATTCTGAGCTACTAAATATGTAAGAAGACCAACACAGCTCCAACTTTAATTGCATTACCACAGAAATATCACAAAATTAAGAAAACTAAAAAACAAATAAAGCAGCTTTGTTTGACCAAAATTAAGAAAACTAGAAAACAACTTTAATTGCATTTCCATGTTTTTTAAAATAAAATTATATTTGGCTAAGTGTGGGCGGGTTGTGGAGGGTGCGATGCATATCCGCAACCCGCCCGCAATCTGAAAATATTATATATTCCAAACCGCACCCTACCCTATTCAATTTGCAAAACCGCCCATACATATGCGGTTCAGATCGGGCATGGCGGGTTGTTCGGGTCGGATAGCTCTATACCCAGTCCTATCCCCCACCATTGTTACCTTTTCCAACCTTCAACAACTGTAGCCTTTGGATCTATGACAAAGAATAATAGTAAGAAAAAAGAAAAATACAGAACCATCATGCCCTCCTGTTGGAAATGGTAGAAAAAATTCTGGGTAAAACCAGAATTTTTTCTCAAGTTTGGTCTATTTTTTATGTGGGCCTCGAGCGTCGATTTACTCGGATCAAAGTGGTAACGCGTTCTACACCGCGTTGTGATTCACGTGGTATATTTGGTTGCTCAAAACCATTACCGAGTGAATGGGAAATTGAAGCCAAAGTATGCTCCATGGAAATGGAATTTTGGTAGAAATTCCTTAAGGTTGTAAAATGGCTTGTCCCACGTTGATTTGGTGGGAAGTTTTGAAAAGGTTTATAAGGCATGGGTTTGGTACTTGGGGTGTGCCCCAAGGGGTACCCAAGTGTTTTAGAGGGAGAGGTTATGAGCAAAATGGACTAGACCCATTGGACTCAAAAATCACCACACGCGCGCGCCGCCGCCGTCCAGGCTGGGCTTGGGCACGGGTGCGTGGTGTGTGGTTGGGTTGGGCTTGTTCAGCCCAATACTAATCTTTTTGGGCCAAAAACATTTGAATTTAATTTTATTTTTGGTAAAATAAAATCCAGAATTCAAATTAAGCTGATTTGGATTTTCTGTGCATCCAAACAGGGGCCTTCCCGTTTTCAAACAAAAATAAACTACTTTGGAATTAGTGCACACCCAAATAGGGCCCTTTTCCCTTTTTTGCTATCTGTTTGAATTCAAAACCAACAAGTATCATACCTGTTCAATTTAAAACCAAGAGACACCTTTACATCTATAAATAGGACCACCCTTATTTGATGTTATTCATTCAGAAATTTCGTATTTCACCTCTGCTTATTCTATTCTTCATTTTGTTACATTTTATTTCTGAAAGAAAGAGTGCAAACACTTAGTGTGTTCATAAGGCAAACAATTTGTAGTGCTGCTATTGTTTGTGGTAGATCATTTCATCCTGGGAGATAGACGTCCAAATTCTGATAGCACCATGGAGAAGACGAATCTGTCTTAAGGACACAGTGTCAAACACTGGACTTGATCAGAAAATAATTCGAAGAAATTAAATCAAGTAAGTTGTTTAATTTATTTTCAGTGTTGTTTTATTTATTAAAATCAGATTTAAATTTTTTTTTTGTAACAAAATAAAATCTGTTATTTATTTATTTATTTATTATTTCGAGTTTGATTTTTGTAATCAAACAAATTCTCTCATTTTCTTTATTTCTTTATATTCTTGTTGTTGTTTTGTATACAACAGAATTTAATCTATTTAAATACAGTGAAGATTGTCCAACATAACCCCCAATAAAGGACTATAAAGACTCAAACCCAAGCCTTGAGCAAAGAATTTAAAGGTTTTATCCACTTAACCAACCCTTTGTTAGTGTCAAAAAATATTATCACCCTCGTCCCTGGTGCTCCACAATTGGCATTTACCGTCTATAATCTCACTCCAACTTTCCTTACCACTAATAATGGGACTTAAATCCATATCATATGATACCAAATCCAATTTAACAGGAACTTCGTACATTGTATCGTCATTTTCTTAATCTCATATGATTTTGTCTGCAGATGCTAAACCCCTTCTATAATAAAGATGTTAAACATGTCATGTAAACAACACATGACATGCTAAGGGTTGTTTGGAAAAAATTAAATAAATACACTTTTTTACTTTTTATGAAATATGGATTAGATTTGAAGTGATGTGGTAGAGAGGTGATGTGACTTAAATAAGATGATATAATTTAAATAAGATAATGACTTTTTGACTTTTTAAATTTTTTATATTATGCCAAACTAAGCCTTAATTTTTAACTTTTAATTCATTTTGAATTATATCGCTTTTCACATTTTTTATTCATTAAAAGATAAAAAAATTTTAAAAAATCAAAA